ATTGTTTTTCTATTTTTTTTTTTTTAATTTTTATAGAAATGTGGAAAGAAATGAAAATTTCAAAAGGCGATAACTGGCTAATGGGTGGAGATGGAAAAAAATTTTCTTCCAATGAAATAAACTACCTATTAATATATCTATAAGCTATAAAAATTTTAGTCTTTTACAAATTGACGTCTACACGGACAGCGATATCAAAAATTTTAATATAAAAAAAAAGAAAAAACAGGTATTAGATAACGATTACCTTTAACAGCCATTTTGCTTTTTTTCAAAGACCAACTATGCTATGCTACAATAAAAGAAGTCTTGCGTTTCTTTCTTCTATGCTATATTTTCCTCCGTTTCCAAAATTTGAAAAATTCTTATAGTTTCGCTACAATAAATAGTTAAAAAATAGCATTTTTATAAGACTTTTTGAGCTATAGCTTCTAGAGGGGTTAAGATTGATAAAAGTTTTATCTGGTGCAAAGAAGATCTATGTACATATAAATTTTCAACTTCCTAACTTTAAAAGCGTAGAAGTTTTGTAAATGGGTTTACGGGCAGACGGATGGAAAGAGCAAAAGTAATGAGCCTTCTTTTTCAATTTTCTTTCGGAAAAGTGCTAAAAATAAGTAATATTTAATATTGTATATTCATATTTGAACTATCAACTTTTTTTTATATTTTAATTGATTACAATTTGCCGGTGCAGAACTGCAGTAATAATTGCTTAAGTTTAAACAAAATATGAGTTGTAATTCAATATTTTAATAACAATAATTAAGTTTATTATTAATTATTACAATATGCAAATAAAGAGTTACGAGTATATAATGAAGTATTCCCACACATGATTTATTTCAGGAATGCTATAAGATCACCCAAAATGGAATTCTTTTAATCTGACTTAATAAATAATTCCTTTTTTTTGTATTTATATCCGAAAATTTATGCCATTTCATTAAATGTTTACCCTCCCCAGTATCATCCAATTAAAACATTTTTTTTTATTGTTAATATCAACAAAAATAAAATTTTTCATTGTTTAAAAATAATTTTTGCCGACTTAAATGCGTTTTTACAATATGATAATGTAAAATTTATCAAAAAAAAAAAAAACATTTCTGCTTTTAATCTCTTTATGCATATTAAAAAAATAAATAAGAAAGATGGTGGAAAATATTGTTTTTTTTTTATTATTTAATCGACTTTTAATCACCTAAATTAATTCGGTTTCATAATAATGAGAGTTTTTGTTACAGACATTTTGAAAAAAAAGAAACAATATAAACCCAAAAGGGTTTTTAATTATTCTCGGTTTTTTTTTATTTATTATTTTTTTAATTAAATTTTACAATTTCCTTATACAATATTTTTTTCTTCTCTTATTAATTATTTTATTAATTTGCATTATTGCATTATATGAAAATAATAAGCATTGCTATTGTTGCAAAAAAAATGCTGTTTTTACAATTTACTTGTAATGAGCACTTATGAAAATTTACTCTGCAACTTAAGAGGGCTCTTGTATTGTAATTATTGCCGCAAAATTAGTCCAAAATATTTGACACTAAAAAATTGCAATAATTTTAAAATGTCATTTTTATGTTTTAATTTACTCTCTGGAAAATGTTATCATTGTAGAATGAAGAATTTTGAAGTTAGTCCTAAAATATTCTTTATATTAGATAGTGATTTTCTAGTTAAATTCATTGTATGTGTAATAAATTTAAAGGTCCAAGAATAATCGCAGTAATTCGATTCAAAATAAATTATTTTCTAAAATTATAACTTTAATATTCTTAGAACATAAAAACAATCATTAAAAATTTTATGTAATCAAAATATTAAACCTACTAATGGTACACAAAAATGCAGTCTAGTGAGTCCATTAAAATATTTTTAATACAATAGAAAATTTTAATATTTTTTTTAACAAAAGAAATATTATTTGAGAGTGTGAAATCCTATTCACACTATTTATACACATAGAAATTTTACAATACTCTACATACTCTGGTAAACTATTAAATGGTATATTAAACAATCACAATTGATACACACCGTTATTATTTCCAAGTATGTATACATATAAATATTATATAGATATACTATATTTGTGAAACGTATATATATATATATATATATATATAAATTAAGAAATGAAAATTTAATTATATAAAATACATTATTAAGCTCAATTAAAATTTTCAATACAAATTTAATTGAGTTTTATTATATTCTTCCGATATAATAATATGTAAGCATAAATTCCATATAGATAAAAAATAAATAAATTAAATTTTCTATTTTAAAATTTCATATTAAATAAATAACATAAAAAAAAATTAATTCCCAATTCTTTTCTTTCATTTTCATTACAGATGGATACATGAAAATCAATTTATGAGGGGCTAAATGCCCCACAATTTTGTTCAAAAAAAAAAATATCAACAAATTAATAAAATAGCACAAAAAATAATAATAATAGAAATAAATTTTTTTTGAAAATTTTCACGCAAATTTTTAGAAATATTTTTATTTATCTATAATAAAATTTCCCTTAAAAATCCATACATATTAATTTTTCAGTATCAATAACAATAATAATACTGGCATATAACAATTAAGTGTACCTATATATTTAAAATTTATAACACAATTATAAATTTTATAATTAATTTTAAATAATAAATTAAAATTTTATGTTAAATTGCAAAAAATTAGTAAACAAAAATAAAAATTGTTATGTTAATGTCATGATAATAAAATATTTATAACAGTGAATATTATAGAAAAATATTAACATAAAATTTCATTAAAACTATAACACTAAAAGCACTAAATTCACATTAACAAAATTAAATATTGAAAATCATTGAAAATAAAAATTATAATGAAAATTTTAATTTTTCTATTTTTCACATTTTTATTTCTAATTTCATACAATAAATTAAATGAATTTTCTGTTAAATATTAATGCAAAGTAATCATACTCTCAAATAACATAACATAACATATAACATAAAAATAACAGTGTTACTATATAATAATGTGAATTGAAATTTTTAATAATAAAAAAAAATATCAGTGTTACCATAGAATATTTTAATAATAAAATTAAAATCAAAAGAAATAATAGAATTGAAATCAAAACAACAATTTTTATAGAATAATTATAACAATAATTAAAATTTAAATGTTATATAATAATATAGTAATAATGCTAATAACATAAGAATCTTTAAAGAAATAGAAGAATAAACAGGGACATTAATCATTACTTAATTAATCATTCCATTAACAAAATAACCATCTAAGATTTTTTTAGTAAAAAATCGCTAAGAAATTAGAAATAATTTAGTTTCTTCTGTTCTTCCATAATTATAATTTTTATAAGACATGAAACATCAGAGAAAATATTTCACCAATATGCAATTATAACATTACAAATATAACTAAAACAGAAAAAAATAAATAATAAATTAATAAATTAATAAAAAAAAAATTACTGTTCCAAATAATAAAGTTACAAATTTGAAAAGAAAACAAACAAAATTCGATTTTTTTTTCTCTATCATTATTGTTTTTCCATTCATTTTTTTTAAATTTTAACAAGGAGCATGTTTTCTCTTCATCATTAATATACGTACGTATACTGGGATGAAAAAAAAATAATGTAACAATATTCATTAGATCACATATAATATAAAAATACCATCATCTACATACGTTAAAGGAGTATTATAATAATATAAAAAATGAAAGAAAAGAAAATAAGAAAAACATTAAAAAAGAAAATGTAAAATACCTACATCAAAATAATAAAAATAAAAATTTTCAAATATTTTTACCATCCTGAATTTTATAACAACGCTAACAACATCACATCATATCAAAAGAATAAAACTAAGTTAAACGTAAAATTTAATTGCAGTAAAATACACACATACATTTAAAACAAACAAGTAAAAAAGGGAGTAAGATAAAAACGGCAACGCAAACAACAACGTAAACAAACAAAAATTTAATTTGTTTTTTTTTTTTTTTTTTGTTTTCTACTTTATATAACATAAAAGAGAAAAAGTTTATAGAACAAGTCGAACTAAAAACAACAAAAAAATTTTACGATCATCAGAGAAAATTACTGTCATCGAATCACATATGCTAGTGCTTGTATACAACAACATTCATTTCGTATATAACAGAATTCGATTTTAATTAGAAACAAGAGTAGGTAAAATTGTTAAATATTAAACTGCAACAAAAGAGCAACAATTAAATAATAACAAAAGAACAAAAAAAAGAGAGTAAACAAATTTTGTATTCGAAATTAATTGACAAAGAATGAGTTGTTCATTACAATAATAACAACAAGAATATTGTTATAGTACAACATCAAAAAAAAAATAATAATATAAAAACAAAGAGAAAATAAAAAAACAAATATAAGGATATTTTTGTGTAAAAAAAAAAAACAGCTGCTCTGTCTTTTCCGTGTAATATTCACAATATTTTATTTTACTTAATTTTTTTTTTTCGAGTTATATCTACTGTTATTTTCGATTTACGGAAATCTTTCCAATAAATATATATATATATATATATATATAAAAATTTAATAAAGAATAAACGGAAGTCAAAGTATCTTGTATATAATATAGTGAAAACGATACAATAAACAAACAAACAAACGACGCAATTTACGAATAACAACAAACAAACAAAGGAAATTTTTAACAACATTAAAAAAAGGATAACCTATACATATACAAAGAAAACAAATACCATTATTATTATCATCATTATATTGTTGTTATATGTTTCATTTTTGATTTATTTTTTTCTTTTTTTTTGTTTCGATATTTTGAGAAATTGAAAATCTACTTTAGAAAATTTTAAAAAAAAAAAAAAAAAAAACACTTTTTTCTTTTTTCATACAATTATTTTGGTTGATTGTTGAAATACGAAGAATTACATACCTATAATATATATAAAAGAAAAATACAACAAAAAAATAGAATTTCGAGAAAAAGCAAAAAAAAAAAAATAAATATAAAATAGAATATTAAAAGAAAATATCAAATAAAGGAAAATCGTTCTATATTCGTGTTAATCGTTACCTCTTGTGTTCCTTTTTTAAAACATAAAAGAAAAAAATAATATAAAACAAATTGTTTGCCTTTTTTTATTATTATTATTATTACAATTTAATCTATAGTTCAACGATTCTTTATATTATAATAATAATATTCATAAATACAAATAAACATACATACATAATATCATCAGATACATTGTAATAGAAGGATGGAAAGAAATATTTTTAAAGGTAAGCGTTTTATATTATGTAATTAAAAAACAATCTTTGAAAATTTTGTTAATTATACAAAATAATAAATAAAATAAATGACAAATACATTCGCAACTGTTATACTATTTGTAAAATTCTATGGTAATAAGTAAAAACTAATGCCTAATTCGTAAAATTATTTAAATAGAAATTAAAGATTTAAGATAATTTTCGAATGTATTTTATATAGTATAGGTATACTAACAGAAGCCGAATTCAAGTATTTTAGATTTCTGTCTGGGTAGCTGAGAAATCTCTGTATATGAGATACAGTTTTAAGTACAGTTTTAAATTAATAATTTAAAAAATAAAAAATGTTTTTGTCAGAATTCATTGAATATTTTAGAATAAATGTAAATATGGAGATTAAGGAATGGGTTTTTCCTTTTAATACCACAGAATTTTTATTTTAGAAACTGAATTTGCAGTACTAATGATAAAGAAATAATGGTTTTTATAAGGTATATCAAAAAAAAATATCAGATATTAGTTAAATAAAAAATTGAACTGACAGTTGATAGGTGACAGGTAACAGTTGACAGGTAACAGGTGACAGTTGACAGGGGACAGTTGACAGGTGACAGGTAACAGGTGAAAGTTGACAGGTAACAAGTAACAGTTGACAGGTGACAGGAGACAGTTGACAGGTGACAGTTGACAGGGGACAGTTGACAGATAACAGGTGACAGTTGACAGGTAACAAGTGACAGTTGACAGGTGACAGGAGACAGTTGACAGAAGACAGTTGACAGGAGACACTTGACAAGTGAGAGGTGACAGCTACAGTGTCAGCGGCCGCATAAAAATTTGTAAATCACAAATCGATTGCTTTTTTAAACGATGAGTAGAATTTACTCATAATGAAGCCTCCTACGTTCAAAAATCAAAAGTTTCAACTGAAATTTCATTACAATTCATAATAATCAGGGAACAGTGTGGCATACTATATGTGATTAGATAATCATATTTTAATTTCTCTTCCATGGTTTTTAGTGCACAGCTTTTATTTTTATATGTAAGAGGAAGAGCTTTGTTTTACAGTTATGTAATAGTATCAACAATAAATAAAACCCAATTACAAAGTCACTGTAATAAAACCAATAATAATATTTTAGTAACATCGCGTATTAAATACAAATATAGTATATACACATCTATACGAATTCTAAATTACTTAATCTGTTTTAAAAGAGAACAAACATACCAAATATTAAAATGTATGCTTAAAAACGCCTACAATATTACATGTGTATAACTAAAATATTATTACATATAGTTAAATGGGAAAAATTTAGTAAGAGGAAATTTTATAACGGTTATGAATTCTTTGGAATTCATAATAAAAACGGAAAATTTTTTTCAAAAAAAAAAAATAAAAATTATTATTTGTACACGCGTACATGAACGTTAAAATTTCTATTTATAAATCTGTATATATATACATACTTATGTACATAATATTATTATGTATTATAATTATAAGTACAGGCATATACCTACTTTTTCATTTGAATTTGTAATTGGAATTTATTTACGTATGTATAAATGTATTTGACAGGTTAAGAATCTTTGATTTTATTTATTGTTATTATTATTAAAAATAAAATTTCCTCTTGTTCAGTTTAATTTTCTTTGATTTTATTATTATACTTCTATGTTTAACTCTTATATAATATGATTCAAATATGACTCTGTCATATTTATAAGTATAGTATGTATTTTGAGTATTTGCTCTGAGCTAAAGTTACAATAAATGTAAATTTTCATGTTCATTCTATTTCTTAATATTAAATATACACATATAGGTTCATATACATACATACAAATTAAGGTTGTTTCATTTATTTATGATTATTAAACTAAATATTATTACTCGAATTTATGCTTTCTTATTTGTGTTCAATATTAAAAAAATAATGTTTAAAGTCAGATTACATTAAATATAAACATAGTTACATACTATTATTATTATTTTCTATACATACATACATATACTGAATTTCGAAATTTCCACACGTATTTATTACTCGTATTTTCTCAGAATTTAAAATTTTATTATATTTGCGAATATTTTTAATGAAAATTTAACGATATAATTGAATAATAATTTTGTAAATGAAGTTCTACCAGAAGAATTGCAGATATGGGTAATGAGATACGAATTCTTAATTGAATTCATATCTCATTACCCACATGGTATTAATGGGCAAAACAAAATGAAAAAACTTGTCGTACATCGCTTTACTATACAACGGCTTAATCTATAAAAACATGGTTTCCTTGTATCACAATATACTACCTGACATCGGAAACTTTTAGGTACGAAAAAGCAAAATCCTATAAAATTATTTTTTACTCCAAATATGGGTATCTGAAATTGTAAATTTAAATTCTTTGATTATTTCTGATTGTTACGTAATACTTAAATAGTTACTCATCAAAAAATTCCACATCTCTCAATTAATTTTGTGTAGATTTTTCTCTTTATCTTTTCATTAATTCCATAATTTAATTTTTTTTCTCAGGAAATTAAACGATTCTTAATTAATTTCAAAATTTTAATAAATCCCACAATTTTAAAATAACCAATCTGTTTACGATATCAACTTCATTCATGACTTATACCTGTCATTCCCAAAACAAAATTTAGTTGAATTTTAAAAAAATTTAAGAAACCATTACGAGTAATAATATATCAAATTAAAAAATGTATATTTATATATGTAAAATTATTCTGTTTTACATCTGAATTAGCACCACAGGTGAAATTTCCGTGCATGAACTATAAATAAAACTTTTCGGCGAGAATTTTTGTTTTTTTCTTGTGCAAATGGAATCAAATTGAATTTTTTAAATCCGATCCGGTGATGCAAAAAAATCTTTCCAATACATGTCTACATATATATGTAGCACCTTGATTTTTTTTATTCATTAATATGGCAGTCGAAATAGCTACAATAATATAATATATAAAATGATGAGTCACCCGAATTTAAAATGTTTAATTGAAGGAAGTTGTTATTAGACGTGTTAAAGCGAGTCGTCTTGAATATAATGAGTAACATAAGTTTCCGATCATTTTAAGCACAACATTAATTAAAAAATTTAAAATAATGCACCTCTCGCCAATTGGATTTGTTCACAAAAATGTTAAGATAAAAACAATACGTTTTCAAACTTAACTTTTCCTTCAAACGTTTAAGATGAAAATTTTCTTTTAAACGACAAGTCCATAATATTTAACAATAAATTAGTCGCAAACACTCAAAATTAGAAAAATTAAATTTTCAGCAGCTTGCTTAATATTACCTTTACTAAAATTCTAATGAAATAGAAATTAAAAATTAGAATTAAAATTTTTAAATTCCTTAAAAAATCACATAATTTCAATTGTTATTTATTCTTCTTTTTTTATATATTCCCTAGAAGTATGCAATAAATTTAGTTATTATTCTGTAATGTTCAATTCAAGTTTTGCGATACCAGGTATTTTCTTTATCGATAAAAATTTAAAAAATTCGCATAATTAATATTTTATATTTTGATTTTAACAGATGGAAACGAAGATTTTGCTTTAAATTCAATCAATAGCAATATTTTGGAATAAGAATTTAATATACGCCTGAAACATGACCACATGTCGGCTAAATAGCCTTCTTCATCATTTTGTTTTAGTAAATTTTGAATTTTGAAACTTGTAACTTTAAAATTTTTCGGAACAATTCCATTTTCTTGGATGCTCTCATAGATTTCTTTTAAATAACACAATCTTAGGTCATCCAAATATAGATTTTAAATATAGATTTAAAACCTTTAAATCAAAACCCTTTAATGAGTTTAAGTTCAGAAAATATTCCATAAATATACAATTACCTCCTATAGTATAAGAAACCTATTAAGAAAAAAAAAACCTGTTACAAAAATATTTCCATGTCTAATATTTTGACTTTTCTACTTTTTCTAAAAGCTAATCTTACTTTCCTTTTAAATAAAATAAATTGTTTTTCATTTAAGATGGATTTTCTATGTTTTCTTCTTTCATCTTTTTTTTTCTTTTCTTGTCTCTTTTCTTCTCTATATAATTTCTATTTTAGAAAAGAACAATGATGAATATATTTTGCCTTCAAAATCGGATCTAAATCATTCAATTTATTATTTTTCTAAATTTATAATGATATACGTATGTATCAATGTATGTATATTATATTATTTTTCTGAATATAAAATGTTATACAACCACGCAATAACTTCAATATAAAATGTATATAAAAAGAACCTAGAATGAAAACTGAAACATTGTTTTCCAATGAAAACAAGCTGAATGATGAAATGATTAAAGAGAACTCTGTTTAAAAGTATTAGAGATGAGAATACACCTACTATAAATGTATACTTAAAATATATAAGTAAGGGAAAATAGTAAAAAGAGAAATAAGCCTAATTAAATTAGCTAGTTGGCTAGATTTCTTTGTCTATATTTTTTTTTCCCCTTTATATCAAATGGATTTTTTTCTATATAATATTTTCATACCAAGATTTTCCCGTTCATATTTTAGTATCAGATTGAAAGAAAAAATTTAACAATTTATTTTTTAAAATGTAAAAAATTTTAGTCCTGAGTCCATCAAATGAAATTATAGAGTACGGGCTAAACTTCTTATGAAACCATACAAGCATTTTCTGCGTAGTATCGGACCGTCAACAATCGGCCCTATATGTTTTCTGATGAATATTTTTTATTGGCTAAAAATCATTTTTATGTGGTTTCCCAATGCCAATTTATTGTTTCGGCCTAATTTTTTTACATAACCACACATATTCATTTAAACTGTAAGTTATCTTAAACTGAAAAGAAGAATTCAAATTTAAATCTTTCACATCTTTAAAATTTTATTTTGGTTTTTATAATTTTTCATTGTTGTCTCCCCAGTATAGCTCAGAACCAGCTCCTAAAATTTTATAAAAGTTCACCCGGCTAACAATATTTAATTAATTAAGTTATTGCGTTCCATACCTCCATTTGCGTCAAAATAAACGAGTTTAAACCTACATAACCTCATAGTTTTTATGTGTGAAGCCTTTACTAAAAAAAATATTTCCTAAACTCTCTGCTTCTCTATTTTTTTTTGTTAACTAGAAAATTTTCTACATTTTAGTTTTTGGAAAAACATTTTTCTTTCTTTGTTCTTTAATTTTTCATCCCACGCTATAATTTTCAAAAAGGTAAGGAAATTTCTTATAGATTTTCCTTTTAATATTACACCAAATTTTTTTCCAGAGAGAGAGAGAGAGAGAGAGAGAGAAAGGGGCGCATTTATTAAGTGAAACAACATTATTTATTACGATATTAATTAGTATCTGATGATGATTTTTTTTTTTTTTTTGAAAATTCAATAGCAATTATGTTTTTATTTGGAAATAAGAGGCAATTAATTATGAAATTAATAAATATGCAAACATACATACATATATTTAATAATAAGATTTTCCATTTCACATAATTACGTTCCTATTATACGGTATTTTACTTTTGATAGCTTTTAATTTAATTAAAGTAAAAAAAAATAATAATAGAATGCATATTAGGGGAACACAATTAAAATGTTAAAATATTAAAGTGTTCCGTAAAGATTTTACGATAAATTGTTTTTTTGAAGAATTTTCGAAATAATGAAAAAATATTAACAAATATGTTGGAGTTCAAGATTATTAAAAACAATTAAGAATTTTTCATTGGAATTTTGTTAATTGCGTAATTTTTGATGTATAAAAAAAATTACACGTGTAATTTTAAGTTATTAAAGTGGCTCATGTCTGCTATTTTCAATCAAATATGTTACTTGAAAATTTTAGATATATTTCTGATTCTATAACTCTGGTATACATTTTTTTCTGTTTGAATTTCTAAGAATCCAAACCCAAGCGTTTTTCAAAACTAAACCGGTTTTAAACCATAAATTAATTTGATTCAAAGTTGTTTTGAAACACGAAATGACATGAAGTCAACCGAATAAATTTGATTAGATTAGATTTGTAGATTGGCTGGTATCAAACTCAGACCAAATCACTGCAGCCATACAGACTTATTGTAACACAGAACGTAATTACAGATTCTTGCAAACGCCATTTCCTACAAGTTTGGGTGCCACTACATATACCCCAAAATTAACCAATCCGCACCTGGCCAATGGTTCAATATGCTCAACCACCATGAATCAAAGAATATGTTCAACCATCTCATCTTCGTCATGGCGAAATCTATACAAATTGTCCCCAGATTTTCCGAATGTGTGTAATAACCCAGTCTACAATACTCAATGAGTAGGCCAACCGAGAAATTAACCGAATAATTAATTCCTCTTTTCAGATCAATTTTAACCTATATCCGAACCAGATATTTATCATGGACATCAACCATTTTCCGATTAATTTACTTCTAATCAATATTTTTATTTTATTTTTCTTGATTTTTACCTAATTATTTCAATAAATTTAAAAATTTAAAAATATAATTCAAAAAAATTCATCATTTCATTAAATTATCTTTCAAAATTATTATTTTCTTAATCTAAAAATTGAATTCAAAATCACGTTTTACTCTTATAATAAAAAATTTCCTCCATATATAAATTTTCTTAATAGAAAGAAAAAAAGTTGTTTTAAGTTTTATTATATACGATATATACGGTATATAATAAAATTATATTTTTTAAAAAAAATCCTGTGAAACCATATTAATCAGTTGAGTATCTATTTTTCTTCTGCCATTGATTAAATAAAAAAATAATAATAATAAAAGAAAGAAAATCTGTATGAATTCATTTTAAATAAAAAAAAAAAAATTATTAAGATAAAAGTCCATTAGGGGTTAATTCAATTATTCTTTGTTCACATTTAGATAGTAACTATATAATATAAACTATTATTGTATACATATATATTGTGTAGATATAAGCAAGCATTTATTAAAAAAAGAAAGCAAGAGAAAGAAATTGATTTTGTTGCCTATATATTATTATCGTACATAAACTTTATAATAGGACCCATTGAAACACTATTATATTCCATAATAATATATAAGAATCCTTTTCATAATATATTTGTACTCAACATTATATTCATTTTTCTTGACCTTCCTATACTTGAATGAATCGATTATTTTCGTATGTACATCTATATATTTATATAATATTTTATTTTAAAATGAACAGGGTGTTGAATGACTTCTTGATGAAAAATTATTGATTCAATTCGAAAGAATGGCTCAACATTTTGAATTAATACAGAAAATAGCAATAATAGTGAACTTTCCTACAAAATTTCAAAAAAAAAAAAAACTCAAGAGCACTTGTTTCATCAGTACAGTGGTATACTTTGTTATCTCGTAAATATACAACAAATACTTCATACTCTTGGTATAGCATACTTTTTCAAATCTCCATTAAGCGAATAATTAACTATAAGAATAAGAACATTTTTAAACTTCCGAAATCTCAGTCCTGTAAATAACACTTATAGAATTTTGAATATAAACTGTTCATAGAATTTATTGTGTAAAATTTGTATAAAATTGCTATACTAAATTAATATCCAGGAAATTGACTAAGTATAATAATTTGAATTTTCCAAATTCTCAATTATATTTAGACATAAAGAATTAAATAACCATTATCAAAACTATTAGACACTCTACTTCTCTAAGAATCTGTAGTACATACATGTATATCAGATATTATATATTATATAATAACATTTATAAATTTATAAATAATAATATTTTATCTTGCTTTCATTTCTAATTCAATTTTATAATATTTTTAATTTTATACATATATATATATTTATTTTTTTTTTCTTTTCTTATTTATTTCTTTTATATAGAAGAAGGTCTTCTATCTGATGTATTCATTGATAACGGAAGCCCAGATTCATATCTACTACCACAAGATGTTGATTCTATTTTAGGAAATTTAACAAATTCAAGTATATATATCAGTGATATAAATGGTAGCAATAATGATAGTCTATTACAACTATATGAAAATCAATCGATATTTGGTAATGAGACAATTGAATCAACCGAAGATATCGCTGAACTTATACAAATAGCAGTTACATCAATTGTTTTAGGATTAATGATATTAATAACTGTTATAGGTAAGTTAAAAACAATTTTTTTTTTATAAATACTAAATTTTATATGGTATACTTATAGTGTAGTAATTGTTGTTAAAAAAAAAATGCCCTTAAATAATAATAATTTTATTATAGAAAACAAAAAATGTTATTTTTATCGTAAATAATTTAATATTTTTCAAAATTATAATGAGTAGTGTGTGGAATATTTTTGAGAGCTTTTTAAATGAAAAATAAAAATTTTTATTTCATTTATTAAAATTTAAAGAAAAATAATTACTTTAAAAATTTTAACAATTTTTTAACAATAAATTAAGTGTTATATAAAAAATAATTATTTAAATCAAAGGTTTTGATCAAAGGCAGAAGGTTTTTTACTACAATATTAATTTTAAATTCTTTATTATCTTTCGAAATGCTCAAATCTCAAGATTTTAATCCAAACTAACACTTTTCTTACGTGAACCGTATTATAAATTTTTAATTTTGAGGCACTATATCGGTATCTGCTGGCGACCATTAGAGTCACGTCTGAGTTTAACAGATCATTGAGACGGTTATTAGCGTGCCGTAGTTTTTCATAAGGTTATTGATTATTTATTGTTTGTTTTTGTTGGTATGCAATATCGATTATTATGGCTGAATATAATGTGGTCAATTATTTTTAAATTAATATTTTATTTTTATTAAGCTATACAATATGACCTGAATAATATGATTATAGTGACCTGAACAGGGTCTGAATCTGAGATACTTCGGTTAAAGGGTCGGCACCATAGCCACTGCACCGTTTTTCAGTTTCACTGCATTTCAGTTTACGTCACGAATAACAAAAAATAATAAAGATTTTCGACCAGTCAAGTATTATCGTTCAAATTTATCAAATGATTATTTCTGAAAAATTAATTTCATAGAAAATAATCGAATAACATGCCTAATCGAACATCCTTATAAGTCGTAATAAGATGAAATCAAACATATCTGTTATTTAATTGTTGAAAAATTGGTTTAGATAGAAATTTGCCTATTTCTGAATATAATAAAGCAACTGTAAAGCCGTCACAATACGTTTGTAAAATTGACATGGCAAATCAGAGCAAATTTTGGTGGAGTTTTTAAAGTAAATCAATTTCTATTGATAAATAGTAAACATTCTATTGTTGCGTTGATCATTCACTTTGTATTTTAATAATTGATTTTTTCTGCAACAACAATAAAATTTTTAAAAACAATCAGATCTAGAGCATTCCTATTTACTCTTTAATTAAATTAAAATTTAATATGAAATGCATTAGGTTAGGTTAGGTTAGGCTAGGTTGACGCAGCCCCCGAAAGGGTACACTTTGGCTATTTAGGCCAGTTGTGGTACTGATGGATCTCTTCTTTTCACCTCCATTAGAAACATCAGCCCGAGTTCATAAGAAACCGGCCAAGGCCCCTAGCATTTACATTTACCCGTAGTGCATTAAGTTCATTTAAGAATGAACACTTTCAACTCAAATTGAATAAATTTATTAAATCACTATCAGCCATAAATTTTTAGTCCTACATTAAATTTCGTATAAAACACAAAAATAGAAAATTTTACAACATTTTTTTCTTTCTCTAAAAACCAAAAATAACTTTCTCTAACATTTTATAGTATTGATAATAACTGTAAAATTCTGTTGTTATTATAAGCATAAATTTGTTTTTCTCAGATTTTTTTTTTTTTTTCATAAAAATGTTAAGAAAAAATTCATAAAGTTCTTTAACTGTCCACTAGAGGGATATTTCATCACTTTTATATTATAAACACTACATTATTAATGTACAGTACATAAATACATATGTGTGTATCATTGTATATTACGGCTCTCTTTTTGATTTTTACGCTCTTCTTTTTTTGATATTATTAATTTTTACAACCCATTTTGGGACTGGTTTTTCATTTCAATTTACATAGAATATCTTACATTAAAAATATTTCGTATCTTATTTTCGATATCTTAATGTTAATGTATTTATGTAAAGGATAATAGATAATATTATTTACAAGGATATTTATTTTGAAATAAAATTGAAAAACAAAAGAAAACAACAACAATTTCGATGACGATTCGCCAGTAAAAAGAAAAAAATTTTTTTGTTTCAAGATTACCAGATATACAGTAAAATTTTACTTACAGTAGGAGTTTCAAGGACGAAATTATTATTATGATTATTATAAATAACAAAAATACATAATATATTATGTATACATTGTAAATGGGTGGATATGTACAACATTTTTCTTGCCAATATCATTATTTTTATTATTATTTTATAATCTTATGTTAAAATAAGAAAAATTTTATTTTACAACTTATCAAGATATAAAATAAAGATTGTATAAGAAAATAAAAAAGAAGAAAATTATTATATAAGTGAAATAAGGATTGAATAATATTGTTTAGCTCTGTTTTACCTTTCTTGTATCTATCTATAATACACAATATATATGTGTATAGCTTGAAAATAAATTATGAATTGTTTGGATAATTATGACTGATTCTCATACAGTCTTTTATAGCATTTTCGTTTCATCAATTTATTTTTCTTATAATTAATGTGAATTACCTTATAAAATTTAAATGTATAGATTATAATCAGAATTTAAAGCATGAAAGAAATTTAAGATTTAAGAAGGAAATTTAAGATTTAAATTTATAAACAATTGGAAAAATAATTAGAAAATTTAATAAAATAAAATTCAATTCAAGCTATTAAAATTATTATTAGGGGACGAAGATTTATTTCGCACATTAATCATACAGATGATGATACAGATGTTACAAATGATATCCGGCACGTTAATATAATAGACGTTCTAGTTCTGTAGAGTAAGTGTAGAAAGCCAATCTTTCTTCCAATCTATTTCGATCTCTTTCAATTTTTGCAGTTATCATTTTGTATTCCTTATTATGAATGCAACAATTAAACTTTAACGAAATACCAATACCAGGAATACAAAATTTTGCTTGCGACAAAAATAACACTGTATTCGTTTTCTTAACCGCTCCAATATTGAAATAAAATTTTTTCCGAATTTAATTTTATATACTCTTGAAATATCATATGAAGAAGAAAATTAAAATGAAAATTTGTTCATATAAATTACACAAGTATTTACAAAATATGGTGAATCAAATAGAACCAAACATTTACTCATATATTAACAAAATACAAAGTAAGATCTCATAACATATCACTTAAACTTCATATACATACCAAAAATTCTGAAATTTTCATATAAAATTTTACGCACGTGTTCATATAACAAAATGCACTCATATACATAGAAAATCAAATAATCTACCAATGGTATATTTTATGTTCAACATAATTTCCTTCCGAATAAACTCAATAATATTATGTGGTACTCTTACCAATATAGCACCAATGTGTTATTATGTATTCAGATGTTTATAAACATATGTATAGCTACTCTTTGTATGTATCCAAAAATATTATACTCAGTTACATTATTTCAATTTATTATATTGAAAATCAATAAATTTTATAGGAAAAAAAACGAAATAAAAAATTGAAAAATAATTTTTTTTTTAAGTCTTAACTCTTATGGTCGTTGTCATAAAATCAAAAGTAATTCTAATATAAATTAATTTTATACATTGTATACCTATATATACTTTCTCGTCCTTATGCCCTTATTCCAAACGAAATATATTAGGTTTTTTCTTCTTCTTTGAATTTTCTTAAATTGTTTTTTAAAAAAAAACAATTGAAAAATTGGCAAGAAAATGGAAATTTAAAACGAAACAAAGGGAAAGAGAAGAAAACAAAATATAAATCTGACTATAAAAAAAAAGGATATATAAAAATCCGATCAATTATAAAAATCATTTTAAGTTTTCTTTTATTTTTATTATTTTCTTCTTTTTGTTTTATTGAAAAATAAACTCATATAAAATTGATAAAAAGAACAAAAATTTACTCACAGGTATTAAAAACACATACATTAAAATATTTATATACGTTCTCTCCTATTTATAATACAAGTATATAGTAGTATATAGTATATAATAGTATATAGTACATAGGAGTATGTAGTAATGCATATACACACATTATAATTTCGTAGAAATTAATTCCGGAATTTCTCAATCTTCTATGTTAGACGAAAATAAAATTTAAAATATTTAAGAAAAAAGATTTTATTTTACGATATCAGGAGCTCAAATCTACTAATCAACTTGCGTATACGTTCATTGTAATAATTTTTTGAGTATAATAATAAGCAAACAAAATGTATGAAATTAAAAAATAATTTAAAAATAAAAAACCAATTTGAAAATAATTTACTTTCTCGTCTGATTAAATTTGTCATAATATTTAAAATTCAATTTGAGCATTGCAATAAAAAAAAAAACAAACATCGTAACGCTGAATACATAAAGCCCATGCAGGATGATCTCAATTTAGAGAGATTGAAATCAAGGACAATGCATTTAGCACATATTTTCAATTTAAATGCATACCGTAAGTAGATATTTTTGTTTAAAAATTTAAAATATAATTTAGTTTTGTTACGGAAATTGACCGTAAAATACATAACGTTGACCGTAAAAAACTTATTTGATTTTACCGATTCGTTTTTGAAAAATATTTATAAACACAAATCGTAGTATATGAAATTTAAAAAAAATTGATTTTTCGGCGCCTTATATTTCTGAGACTGCATGCTTTTCTGAATTTCTACCAAATCAAAATGTTAACGGCAAATATATTGATTTCAAAAATGGGAAATAAATTTTTTTAAACCTTTTACATAACCGTTCATAATTCAACCATTTACATTGACTATTTTTTCAGTTTTTTTTTTTTTTTTGCTCATCCTAAATGTATGCAATTAATTGAAATATCTTCATATGAATAAAAATAATAAGAATATTTTTAAAAGCAGAATTTTCACTTTTTTTCTCGGAAAAGTACTGCTCTACAAACCACTGGTTTGGTCAAACTTTAGTAACTTTTATCCT